ATTTCATATTTAAAGAACTTTCAGAAGTTTGTGTTCTGAATATGAGTGGACTTTTCTTTTAAATTACCCACAAAAAACCCCCCAAAAAAACTATTTGATGTAAGACTTTTAAACTGGATGATCTATGGAGGCAGGAGAGACAGACGTCTAACAGCTAACAGGAAGGCTGCATGTCTGATAGAAAGGCTTGGTTCTTTATCAAAGCACAGCCAGACACCTGAAACTGACCAGAGGTTCTGTGAGGATCATCTTTTGCAGAATCATGGAACCAGTCTGGCATTAATCCCAGCTTTCACAAACAGGATGAAAACACAAAGGAAATACCTGATTCACATCCTGATTGCTGCAGCTTTACTTTTCTCTTCTTATATTTCTAGTCTAAAATGTTGAATTATATATTTTTTAAAAACAACTAGATGTATAAAATGAAATCCTGCTTATGATCTGGGAGGAAGGATGCTGCAGAAGGACAACAGCCCCCTCTAGTGGGAAGGTCAGAGAATAACAGGCTGAGGGAAGCAGCCTTCAGATTTCCAGAGAGCAGATTATCTTGTTATGATCTGATTTCCTGTTGGATCTGCGTCTCCAGCAGCTGACTGCAGCTGCAAAGATCTAACAGTGGCCCAGATAGGCTAACGGGTCACCAAACGCGTTCCTGAACAGAACCTGTTCTCTCCCCCCCCCCCGTCGCTCGGTGGGTTCTGGTTCTGAGGCGCTCAGATCCTGCAGGAAAAACATGAATGAGATAAAAGAAGAAGCCATCTGGATCCTTCACTAACAACAGGCTTCCTTCTGTGTAGGACTCCCCACTGAGCCCCGCCCCCCTCATAAATCCCTGTGAACAGAACCCAGAATAGTAAATGACAAAGCAGCTTCTTTGTCTTTTACTATTCTGGGTTCAGAGGGAAGCATTAGCCCCGCCCCCTGGTCCAATAACAGAGCAGGTTGGCTGTCATTAAACCCCCGATGGCCTCTGTCGTGACCTCACAGAGACATGAGGTCATCCACAGAGTGGACGGCTGCTTCCTGCTTCCATTCATTGCTGCTTGGTTAGCAGCGAGGATGGTCCATTAAAGCACGCTGCAAAAAGGATCGAAAGATGAGAAATCATTTACTAAAACAAGAGAATTTAACCGCCAGCACCCGTCATGGATAAGCATGACAGAAGATGGATGGATGGATGGATGAGTCTTAATTTGAGTAGATAAATAAGATGATCTGCCAATGTAACGAGTATTTTTAACCTTAAAGTAAGATAATTAGATATTATGGATTTGACTGCAGTGGATCTGTTTCTTACTTTAAATCTAAATTGTCATGTTCCACTGGCTGAGTGTGTCCCTCATCTGTTCTATTCTAGAAAAAAATGCATTTATTTTAAAGGCACTCCTTGAACCGCAGTGGGCCTCAGCAGATGGCCGCTCACACTAGGCCTGGTTCCGCTGGAGGTTTCTTCCTGTTAAGGGAGTTTTTTTCTGTCCACTGTCGCTACATGCATGCTCAGTAAGCATGCAGGGATTGCTGTAGAGACGGCAGTCCAATCAAAGCGAATATCTACGGTCCCTAGCTGCTCATCCAGGAGGAGAGAATCCTGCAAAGTCAGTGACTGGATGCAATCAGCTGGTTTCCCAGGGTAACCTTTAATCTGTCGGGATGATCTGATGGAGCAGTTTCTGTAAAATGCTTCAAGATGACATGTTTTAAACAGATATAGTGAAAATAACCTGAATTCTTAAATCATCCGGTCTGTCTGAATCAAATCAGTGTCAGCTTTAAACTCACCAGCCTCTCCATCTCCTGCTCCCTGAGGCGCTCCTCTCTCTGTCGCCGGTGATACTCCAGCAGCTCATCTTCGTTGTCGCTGATCTCCGTGATGCTGTTCTTCCTCTCCCGCATGCCTGGGTGGGGTCTGCCTAGGGACATTTTCCTCTGGGTCCTCGGGCTGGCAGCCGGGGAGGAGCCAGGGAGGGAGCCCAGACTGAAAGCAGGCGATAAGGAATTCCCAAAGCTGGTCTTGCGTATCCCCACACCGCCGCCACCCTCCATCATCATGGAGGTAGGGGAAGGACTGCGAGCCCGGATCCCTCTGCTCTCCTCGGACGCGGATCCGGTTTTCCGGCGCTGCCTGGGACTCTCTGGGACCAGCCTGCCTAAGAAAGAGGGGCTCTCTGGAGTCCGCAGCGTAGCAATGGTTCCTGGCAGCGCTCCTGGGAGAACTGGGACCCCTCTCCGAGCTAACGAAGGACTCAGAGGAGGCAGCTCTCTCATGCTGTTGATCCCTGCGCTCCCCCCGTTCAATTCTAAGTTCCTCCGGGCCAACCGGGGGCTTTCAGGGGGCTGCATAGGCCGTGGATGCTGCTGGAGATGGGATCCTTGGATAACATGAACAATGGGATCTAAAGGAGGCTGGAAAGCCTTACTGGGAGGAGAAATCTGCCTGGAGGGGCTGGTAGACAGGGAGCGATCAGCACAGATGGTTTGCTCTCTGTAAGGACTGGCAGGCCTTTCCTGCAGCACCGTGATGCTCTTGGTCCGGGGACTAGAAGGCGACGGGGATGAACAGCCCGCGAATTTGGGAGTCACTCTGGGGCTACTTGGCACGATGTGTTTACCGCTGAGAGATTCGCTAGAAGAAACCAGAGGCGTCTGGCGGGGGCTCTCAGAGCCGTCCTGACCGAGTCCCCTGCGGCTCGGCTTGGGACTCGGAGGAGTCTCCGTTAAGACTTTCCTCGGCAGCCTGGGGCTTTCCTGGAGCTTCTGGCTCCCCCCAGCGCTGCTGAAGTTAGGTAGTACGGTCCTTGGCAGGGGTACGGGGGGAGGCTGGGTGCTGAAGTTGTAGCTAGAAGAGCGTATAGGCACAGGTGGCAGAGAAGTTCCCTGGTCCTGGAGTCCTCCACCAGGAGACGGGCTGGTAAAGCTCCCACTGCTGGCAGCCGAGGGGGAGGAAAGGGGGGAGAAAGGCGGGGAGGTATTCTCATAGCTGGACCCCACAGACATGGCGCCTGGACTGGTGGGAGGCGACAACAAATACCTCCCCCCTCCATTCACCATGGGAGACAAGGGGGAGTGGCGCACGGCGTGACCTCCAGGGGGCTTTTTCCCCTCAGAGGAGGAGGGCTCAGGGTCATCCAGGACTAAGGAATCCATGATCTCCTGGAGGTCCTTCTCAATGGAGCTGACGATGGCACTGTGCTCTGACTGGACTCCAGCAGCCGAGGGAGACTGGGATGAAGCCGCCTGGTGATTCCCATTGACCAAACTCTCCGCGTCTGAACGAGAAGGAAGAGAAACAGAACGTTACTCAGTCAGATATACAACAGCTGGCAGGAAACGGGACGACTGAGAGAAATAAAAATAAAAACACTTTAAAGGAATA